TTTCTAACTCTAGGTCTTTGCCATTTGTTATAATATTTGATTTTGTCTTCTCAAGCTATCCTGTGATATTTTCTGTTCAGTTCTTTTATCTCATTTCTTCCATTTGCTTTAGCATCTTTACACTGGAGAACAGGTGTCAGAGTCTCTTCTGACATCCATTTTGGTCTTTTCGTCTTTCTTGTCTTCTTAATGACCTTATGCTTTCTTCCTGTATGCTGTTCTTGATATCATCCCACAACTTTTTCTTGTCTTCAGTCTTTATTTTTTAATGCATCAAATGGCTCTCATGGAATTTAAAAATTTTCTTCATCTTCAACCTGAATTTGCATATGAGCAATTAATGGTCTGTTCCACAATCTGCCCCATCTTTGTTTTGGCTGATTATATGGACCTTTTCCACCCTTTATTTCCACAGATGTAGTCAGTTTGATTTCTGTGTATTCCATCTGGTGAGGTCCATGTGTATATCATCTTTTATGTTGTTTAAAAAAGGTATTTGCAATGAAGAAGTCATTGGTCTTGCAAAAACCAATCATGTGATCTCCAGGATCATTTCTATCATGAAGACCACATTTCCCAACTACTGATCCTTCCTCTTTGTTTCCAACCTTTGCATTCCAATTGCCAGTGATGATCAATACATCTTGAGTGCATGTTTGATCAAATTCAGACTGAAGAAGTTGCTAAAATTCTTCTATTTCATCCTTTAATGGTTGGTGCATACATTTGAATAATAGTGGTATTAACAGGTCTTCCTTGTAGGCATATGGATATTATCCTATAACAGATAGTATTTTACTTTTTTGAGGATGAATGCGATGCCATTCCTCTTCAGCTTGTCTTTCCTGGCATAGTGAACCATGTGATTGTCAGATTCAAAATGGCCAATACCAGTCCATTTCAGCTCAGGATATCGATATTTATGCATTCCATTTCTTTTTTGACAATTTCCAGTTTTCCTAGATTCATACTTCGTACATTCTGTGTTCTGATTATTAATGGATTTTTACGGTTATTTCTCTTAGTTTTAAGTTGAAGGTCCCGAAAGCTTTACTCTATTCACATCATCATGTTCAATTCTACTTTAAGGAGGCAGCTCTTCTCCAGTCATATATTGAGTGTATTCCAACCTGAGGGGATCATCTGGCATTATATCTGACAATATTCTGGTGCTCTTAATCTTGTTTCAGTATTCAATATTCTGGTGCTGACAGTGTTCCACTGCTATTCATAATGTTTTCAGTGACTAAATATTTGGGAGTAGTCCATCGCTCCTTCTTCCTAGTCTGGCTTCATCTGGAAGCTCAGCTGAAACCTGTTCACCTTGAGTGGCCCTGTTGGTATTTAAAGTGCTAGTGGCATAGCTTCCAGAATCACACAACATGCAAGCCACCATGGTATGAGAAACTGACAGACAAGAATGGTGGACCTTTGGGATGGGACCCTGCAAATAAGGAACTCTAATATAGGGATTGGTCAGTTTTGCCATCCCATTAGGTTTAGAATGAGCCATCCCAGAGATGGAAAGTGAGGATCTCACTACTATCAAGAAAGAAGAGCCAGGAGTGGAGCCAATCCTTTGGACCCAAGATCCCTGTGCCGAACCGTTTCCATCCAGGAGACAGAGGTGGAAAGAAGCAGCAGCTTATATGGCTGCTCATGAGCTTTTAATTTTAGCATTCCAGTCGCTACTCACCAAGCTACGATGTAGAACATTGTCTTTGTGAACTATGTTATGCCAGTTGACTGTGGTGTCCTCTGAGACGATGGTCCTGAGCCTCCATGCCCAGCAACTCATTGCTTTAAGGTGTTTGATGAAGGCTAAGATATTTTCATCATTTGGCTTTGATTCTTCTTCACACTTGTTTTGATGCCACAAAACAAGTGAATTACCAAGAGAACTTGTTTGCAGACACCCAGTGATCACAGAAACATATTTAAACACTTTTGTTTGGAATAAACCTGTGTATGTATGAACTGAAACTCTAGTTGTAATATTTTTTACTTACCCTCTTATATAATCAGCACTGTTATTAAGAGGGTGCAGGAGGTGTGGATCGAACCCTCTGACACTGTCAGAGGAGGTGACACCAAAATGTCATGAGGGTTGCTGGCAGTGGACAGGCAGGCACCACAGGTGATGGGGCTGCCAAGGCAGTGGTGTCACTAGTTAGTGTCACCTGTCACCCAGTACGGTAACTTGTAACTCACCTGCCTTAGGTGGAGAAGAAGGCCTCTGCCTTGGCTAGTGTGAGAGGGAAAGAGCTGCAGTGAGCCCCAGGATGGCATGGCTCTGGGACTTGTACAAGGACTTGAGCAAGGCAGGACAGCCGAGCAGATTCACGCATGCTAGGCGGAGTTCCTAGGCCAGTTTAGCCATGGGGTGGGGTATAGTGACACCACGAGTTACCACCAGGGAGACATAAACCCAAGTAACCACTGATCAATGCATGTATCATTGTATGTTCAATTAGGTACTGTGTTTTACTCAACTGTAATTTAGAAAAACTTATAGCAGGAACCAGAATTTTTTTTTTTTTAATTGTAAGAGAAAAATTTACAACAGAGGAAAGTATTTTAAATTTTTCTGCAAATTGGAAAACTGCCATTCTCCATTGTACTCTGAATTAAACAATATTCAGTACATTATTTATAAGACAATATTCCAAATTCCTTAGCTTGGCATTCAGGGTCCATTGTCTTTTTGTCTTTTTTCCCCAATTGATTTTTGTTCATGTCTTCTTGGTGGTAGAGGTTGTGTGCTGTGGAGTTGGTCCCAACTCATCATGAACCTGTATAGGGTTTCTGAGGATGTAAATCTTTATGGGAGCAGAAAACCTCACCTTTCTCCCTCAAAGCAACTGGTAGGTTCAAGCTATGTTAGAAAACCCATGAATGATGTACTAGTTCAATTATGTAAAGCCTTTGCTTAGCCTCATCTCCTACTTGTTAATAGATAGCTTTTTGCTCACCAGCAGCTCCTCAGAAACACTATACAGGGTCACTATGGGTCGGAATCGACTCGATGGCACTTAACAACAACAACAATTTTCACTTATTTACAGCTTCCAGTGTTGTAAGATGGCTCAAAGACAATGAAAGGCTAGAAACAGAGAACCAGAAATGGTGTGCTGTCTGTAAACAGAGCACAGTCCTCTGCTACACATCTTCCCCTTACATACCCAGTTTTGATTTTTCTCTTTGTTTCTATTTAATCTCCATCTGTTCTTAGGAGACCTTTAGTATTGATGGAAGTGAGTTTTCTCCCTCTATACCTGTATTTCATAAAGTTATTATTATTACTTACTTGCTATTTATTTGTAGGATTGTAAATTATCTCTTCAGCATGCCTTTATTTATACTTAACTATATCTTAAAATCATTTTGAAGGCAGTAATTTTATCTTATGGTAAATGATAAACACTTAGTGATTTTGTAGTGCTTGGTTTAGGGAAAGAAGTTTATCTCTTCACTCTCCTTTTCACTATGACCCCTGAGTTCCTTAAACCTTCACCATCTCTTCTAGCAACTTCATTAGGCATAATTATGTCTTTGCTTAGCCTAGAATTGCTGAATTACTATGAGCTTCTGGGTATCTCAGTAGAAAACCAACATATTCTACTAAAACAATCTTTGAACTAGTTCAATGATCTAACATAATTTTAATACTTTAAACAGATGTGATTTATAGCTAGCATTTAATAACTTTTAAATTTCTGTCCATTTCGAATGTATTTATGTACCAGTTGTGGGAAGTATGAAGGAGCATTTGATTTGGGAATGAATGATGCTAGATTATGCCCTGCCAAAATATACATTCTACATGCAGTTCACAAAATCAGATACAAAGTCATATTGCTCAGAAAAATAAGTAAGTCTGGCTTGCTATTATGAGTTTATTTTTTGAGTGGTATTTACAAGTATATACTCTGTGTTAAAAAAAATATATTGTTTTCCACATCTTTTGTCAGTTTTATCTATATATTTTTAGTTGCTTGTAAATAATACTTTTTTTTTACAGATGCTAATAATAACACTCTTATTTCTTTAGATGAGGGATGTTGACAAACATTATATAAAACCAATTACCAAGTGTGAAAGTAGTACACAGACGGATACACACATATTGCCACCAACTATTGTGAGATCATATGAGTGGAATGAATGGGAATTAAGACGAAGAGCTATACAATTGGTTTGTATATTTTTAGGTTGAAGAATTTTAATATGTTATTATTCATAAAATTGGTAAATTAAATTATATATATATATGTGTTCTACACAGAGTTCTTTGCTAACATAAAATCAACTATCATAATTTATAACTTACCTACTTTATGTTATAGGATTTTCCTTTACTTTGTTGTTGTTGGTGTTTGTATGTCACTGAATCAGTTCCAACTCATAGCAACCCTGTATTGTGTATTCAAAGTAGTTTTAAAACTTGCTGCTATTGTGAGAATTAATGAATGGGAGATCATATGAGTGGAATGAATGGGAATTAAATATTTAAAGCACCTGCAATATCCTTTAATCATTTAGAGTATATTCTTTTCTCTTTGGATTTCTTAAAGGAACAGAACGTTACTTACCTCTGTTATTGTCAACATAGTCTCTCCAGACACTGAACTTCCCTCATCCTTCTGATTCGTAGTCACCTTAATCACAATAGGTGCCTTCCTTAAATTCTGTCTTTGAAACCTTCATCCTTGCCCAACTAAATGGAATTCCCCTAACCCACCCCTTTTTATAATACCTTTTATTTTTAAAAAGAAATGTTTCTAATATAAATGAAATAAACTTTTATGTCTTCTGCTTTTCCTTAAAATACTTTATCCATACCTTTGAAACCAGGTGTGGGAATAAATGGGTACCACTCAAATGAGAACAAAGACTCGGCTACTGTTAACTTGCATTTAGCAGTGACTCAAAGGCAGACTCGGGAGAGGGGAAGCTTTGTAGTGAATAACTAAAAAGGAAAAGGCTTCAGGTGTGCTCTGATTGGAGCTTATTGGCACAGTAAATCTAGAGGGTGTGGTGCTGTATGATCAGCACTGGAGTGTGAACCACAAGGTTCGTAGCTCAAACCTACCAGCTGCTCCTGGGAAACCCTATACAGGGTCACTATGAGTCAGAACCAACTCAATGGCACTTAACAACAACAAATAGAAGCAGGGCACTTATTAGAATTAGTTTGGGGAGCACATTTGGCTTCTCTGGTTGCTCCAAATTTGAAAATAGGAGGGATGGACAAAAAAACAGGGAAACTGGTAGTCATTGAATAAATCATTGATTGCTGTGGAGGTTGTGATTTAGCTTCCTATATTGGTTGCTGCAGGGTTGTGGTCAGGACTCTATTGTCATGTATAGTTCAATCATAGTCCATTTGCATATGGTCTCTCAGAAGCCTTCCCTTAGCCACTACATTTTCCTTGCTGTCTTTTCTGCTGGTATTCTTTCAATCTTGTGAGTTTCTGAAATGAGGAAAGGAGTACTACATCTCAATGTATCTTCCAGATCATTGTTTCATAAATACTTCCATCAGACACGTCTACACTCCATGGACCCTCTTATACATATTATCTACTAAACTCATCGGAGCCCATCAGACTTTCATTAGAAGACAGGTTAGTATTCTACTACTTGAACAACAAGGTAGTAGACTGGTTTTTTTTAAAGTGTCATTGACTTATTTCCAACTCATAGTGACCTTATCTATGTACAACAGACCTAAATACTGCTCAGTCCTGCACCATTCTAACAATTGTTACATTTGAGCCCACTGTTACTGATTGTGCCAATCCATATTGTTGGGGATGTTCTTCTTTTTCATTGACCCACCATTTTAACAAACATGATATCCTTCTCTAGGGACTGGTTCCACCTGACAACATACATAAAGTAGGAGGAATGAAGTCTTGCCATCCTTGCTTCTAAGGTGCAATCTGGCCATACTTCTTCCAGAATATATTTGTTAGTTCTTCTGGCGGTCCATACTACTTTAAATATTCTTTGCCAACACCATAATCCAAATGTATTGATTCTTATCTGGTCTTCCTTTTCCATTGTCCAGCTTCCCTATGCATAGGAAGTGATTGAAAATACAAAGGCATGAGTCAAGTACACCTAGTCCTCAAAGTGACATCTTTGTTGTTTAAGACTTTAAAGAGGTCTTTTGCAGCAGATTTGCCAAAAGCAATACATTATTTAATTTCTTGACTGATGCTTCCATGAGTATTGATTGTGAATCCAAGTAAAATGATATCTTGACAACTTAAATAATTTCTTCATAATGTTTTTTATTGGTCCAGTTGCAAGGATTTTTGTTTTCTTTACATTGGAGTATTTGATCTTCATCAGTAAGTACTTCAAGCCCTCTTAGATTCCAGCAAAAAAGGTTGTTTCATCTACATATTGAAAGTTGTTAATGAGTCTTCTTCCAATCCTGATGCTACGTTCTTCTTATAATCTGGTTTCTCAAATTATTTGCTCAGCATGCAGATTGAGTAAGTATGGTGAAAGGATACAGCCCTGGTGCACACCTTTCCTGGTGCACACCTTTCCTGATTTTGAATCTTTCAGTATTTCCTTGTTCTGTTCCAACAACTGCCTTTTGGTCTATGGACGGGTTCCTTATGAGCACAATTTAGTGTTCTGGAATATCCATTCTTCCCACTGTTACCCAGAGTTTGCTATGATCCACATAACTGAGTGCCTTTGCATAGTTAATAAAGCACAACTAAACTCCTTTCATGTATTCTCTGCTTTTAGCCAAAATCTATCTGATGTCAGCAGTGATAGCCCTAGTTTCACGTCCTCTTCTGAATCCCTCTGGAATTTCTGGTAGCTCATTGCTGATGTACTGCTGCAACCACTTTTTAATTCTTTTCAGTAAATATTCCCTTGCATGTGATATGAATGCTAGTGTTCACTCAAGTCCTCAAGTCTGCATTCCCTTGGGGCACCTTTTTTGAAATAGGCAGAGATACGGATCTTTTTCAATCAGTTAGCCAGGTACCCGTCTACCAAATTTGTTTTTTTTTTGCATAGATGAGTGAGCCCCTTCAGTGCTGCACCAGTTTGTTGAAACCTTTCAATTGGCATTCCATCAGTTCCTGGAACCTTGTGTCTCACCAGTGTGGCTTGGACTTCTTTCTTCAATACCATCAGTTCTTGAACATATCCTACCTCTTGAAATAGTTGAACATTGATTCTTTTTATACAGTGACTCAGTGTATTCCATCCATTTTCTTTTGATGCTTCCTTATTCAATATTTGGCTCATGTTGTTGTTGTGTTTAAGTGCGATAGAGTTGCTTCCAACTCATAGTGACCCTGTATTAGGTTTCTAAGTATGTAAATATTATCAGGAGCAGAAAGTCTCATCTTTCTCCTGCTGAGTGGTTGGTGGGCTTGAACCTCCAACCTTGTGGTTTGCAGTCCAGTGCTAATCTTACAGAGCCACTGCACTTCCCATTTTGTGATAGAATCTTTCAGCTTTGCAACCTGAGACTTGAATTTTTTCTTTAGTTCTTTCAGCTTCAGAAATGCTATTCTTCTCTTTTGGTTTTCTGACTCCAAGTCTTTGCTCATTCCATTGTAATACTTTATCTTCCTAAGTTGCCCTCTGAAATTCTCTATTCAGCTCTTTTATTTCATTATTTCTTCAATCACTTTAGCTTTTCTACATTCAAGAGCAAGTTTTAGGGTCTCTTCTAACATCCATTTTTGTCTTTTTCTTTCTTTCCTATCCTTTTAATCTTTTGCTTTCTTCATGTATGATATTCTTGATGTCATCTCACAAGTTCTCTGGTCTTCGGTGATTAGTGTCTATTACATCAAATTTATTCTTGAGATGGCCTCTAAACTTAGGTGGGATATACGCAGGAGTCCTGGTGTGGCACTGTGGGGTAAGTATTGGGCTGCTGACCACAAGGTTGGCAGTTCAAACCCATCAGCCATGCCTTAGAAAGCATATGATAGTGGTGGTATGCCGTGGAGTTGGTTCTGACTCATAGTGACCCTGTATAGGGTTTCCGAGGCTATAAATCTTTACAGGAGCAGAAAGCCTCATCTTTCTCCCGAGGAACAACTAACAGCCCGACTCATAACTGGTACGCTACCAGAGCTCCTTTAGAAAGCATATACGGGGTCGCTATGTATTAGAAATCGACAGCACTTAACAATAACAACAGCAGTACTCACAGTAACTATTTTAGATGTCATGGACTTCTTTTAATTTTTTTAGCTTCAGCCTGAACTTTCATATGACCAGTTGATATCTGTTCCACAGTTGACCATAGGGCTTGTTTTGGCTGATGATATTGTCTTCATTTTCTCTTCCCACAGATGTAGCCAATTTGATTCCTGTGTATTCCATCTGGTGTGGTCTACATGTATAGTTGCCATTTTTGTTTTTGAAAAAAGGTTTTTACCATGAAAACGTCATTGTCTTACAAGATTAGATCACGGTATCTTCAGTATCATTTCTGTCACCACTTTTCCTAATTTTAAACCATTCAGTGTTCCCTTGTTCTGTTCAAACAGCTGCCT